TCGCTTTTCCGATTTTGCAGGTTGATCCGGTGTCAAAATACAGATTGAAGTTGAAGACAGATGATGGAAAGGAATATGAAGAAGAGGTTCAAATTGACACTCAGAAGGAAACAGAAACTTTCCATGTGCCAAAGACTTCGCCTAATAACGAAGAGGCTGACATAGTCCTTGACTTTAAGAAGGTTAGTGAGTACTGAGCACTAGCTTTGAATTATTATCGAGGTCAAGGGAGAGGGGGAGGGAGCACTGCGCGAAAAGCCAAATATTCGGGCCCGAATTCGCTCGAATACGAAAAGGGAATATTAGGGGGAGAGGGCAGGATAGGAGGCTAGCATGAAGATATAATGGTTTCCTTGTGTTTACCCGTTGCCGAGGTTATTTTCAATGATACTGCAAGATGCAAGATACTAATAGATGGAAGCACAACACTTCGCTTGACAAGGCATGAGAATTATGGAAAGGATCGAGCAATTCATCAGTTTCACAAGCTCAGTGGAACACATTGTTTTGAGTTACATTGGCCACGTAAAAACTCATCTTTAAATTGATTTTAACCTAAAAATAAAAGTTTAGTAAGATAGAGAAATACTTCAGAGATAATAATAAACCTTAAAGGAACAAGGATGGTTAAGGATGGGGAAGATTAACACGGATTCCAAACGACGAGCTTGAAAAATTTAGGCTAAATGTTTTAAGATGCTCCTTTATCTGGTTGTATGAGTTAAAACTGACTGAGTGGTGTGCGAAATGAGTTCTTGAAAAAATAATTTAATTATGTTCATATACCTGTGTGAAATGTCATCGTAGTGAAGAACCTTTTATACAACACATGCAAACAACTAATGCACTCGGACTTTCTATTTGCAGAATTATATGATGGTCCGTATGCCAGAGGCTAAAGTATGCTTTCTGAGTCAATGAACTGAGAATGCTCCAAAACCCGCTGACTTGGCCCGCCTTCTGGTAAGTTTGCATTGTTGTAACGTGAAGGACCAACTTTGCTATCGCCATTTTGTTTACATTTTGCCTTATATTACTTTACGACTATGCGTAGGGAAGGCATTATGTTATGCAAATTGACTCCAGACAGTAACTAAAGCCTGTCAAACATAGCTCATGGTAAAGGTTTTAGCTCTTTAGGTGTAATATTGAAGGACATGTTGCCTTTCAAAAGCTCAAAAATGTTTAGGTGGTTTTTATTTTCCATGGAATTTTTGAGTTTTTAAACCTGCATGGCAAAATGACATCGCTCCCAAATTTCTTAAGGCAGCTAATTTTGCTTATGACCCTCTAAGATCCCCTTTTAAGATTAAAAGACATTTTATTTACAATCTTTCCCTTAATTCACTCTTGAACAATAATATTAACTGCACCATGGTTTGATTTAGAACTGACAAAAGCCTTCCTTGTACGTATGTAATATACTTGGCTTTAATCTAGTCCGTGGTCTCCTTTACCATGCCTGCAGATCAGAGTTTCTGCAGAGAAATGTTCCGTCGTATTAGTTGAAAAATTTCAGGTAATATCTATTGGCACTACAGTAGTTAACAGAGGTCATTCACGGTCCGGTTTTGAGTTATTTTGGCGACGTAAAAATCAGTTACCTTTAAATGGAAGGAAATATGAAAATAATAGTTTACTAAGATAGAAAAAAACTAGAAAGGTAATAATAAAACCTAAAGGAACAAGGATAGTTAAGAATGGAGAAGATTAACACGGAATACGAACGACGAACTTGAAAACTTAAAAATATCTTTTCAAGATGCGCAAACCGTGACGTAGCTCCTTTAAGAGGGTCGATCATCTTTCTTTTATTATTACCCAACAGGACAAAGACGCGGGATCGACGACAAACCAAAATCGACCTGAACTGAAATTTAAGGTTCTGGGGACCCTTGATGACAATGCACGTGGCGATCTGAATGACGAAATGGCGGATCTGTGTGCGAAGCTACCCATTAAAGTAGTTGTTAAGGTGGACAGGGCACCAACAGACATAGCCTCGGACGACGCACCCTTAAAACGTAGGTGTAACAGTCGGAATATTGCAAGGGAATATATGAAAGATCATTTATCTGAACTGTGGAGAAAGATATGAAGACATGATCCAGTGAACATCGCAGTTATACACACAAGTTAAGAAGTTGTGATATTAGAGCATGAAAAACAACAACAACAACTACAACACCAGACTTAAATGGGATTCGAACCCATGACCTCTACGATACTGGTGCAGTGTTCTAGCAATTGAGCTATCAATCCAACTGGGCGCTCGTCAACTCGTGAGTTCGTAATACTACATATTACACTCACAACGTGACCAGCTCCCACTGCGATGATCAGTCATGTCTTCAATTGGGATATTGTGCACCGATGTACACTCTTTCCTCTAATTTCCGTGTCAAGGAAGTTACCAGCATAGCTGTTAAAGTAGGTGTACGAGTTGAATTCGTCAAAACCGACAGGGTTACCTATCAATTTACATTCCAGCTGGGTAGAGAAACAAAAAACGTAAACTGTCTAGGTCAAAACAAGGCTCTCGGCGATTAACACTCATTGTCTCGCGCAATTTGATAGACTAACTGAAGTAAGCTTTTGTTTGTTGTTCCAGGAATCAGACGCCACTGTAGCCAGAGGTGCTATTATGTCGAAAGAAAATCGTGTTTTCTCTTTTTCTGCTCGACCTATTATGAACGGCAGTGCGACACTTACTGCAGTAAATAGATATCCTTTTCCTAAACAAGTGGTACTTGAGGGAGTAAATTAGTAAAAAACATTAAATCGGATCCAGTCCAATTTACGGTTGTTATTAAAAATAGCTTTGAAGTTACGCGAAGAGAGCAGAACATTTTAAGTCGCATTGCAAAGTTTTCTTTTAATTTTTTGTTGCAAAAAAGTAAGATTTTATTTCAGTTCTTTGGCTGGCAGCTTTTTTTCACGTGTCGAATATGTGTAAGTGAGGTCGTTATTATAGTAACTTTGATGATAACCAAAGAGATCAATATGTTTTAAGTCGCATTACAAAGCTTTATGTAATATTTTTTGTTTGGTGAAAATTGTCATAAGTAAAAATTGAATGTGCCTCAATTATATGATTATATTTCAAATACGAATACTGAATTAGGCAAGTTAATAAAGCCTCTTTATGTACCACATAACACAGAGTGTCTATGTTTGTTAATAATATACCGGGTCTTGTTACTGGGGTTTAATTACTGAAGACCAATACGTCTCGATGTTCTCACCCTATAGCGTTCTTTGCTCTTTTTTTTTTCCTATAGCTTAAAAAGTACAAGTTCTGTAAATTTCTCTCGGTATACCCGGTTCTAAAAACCAATGCTCCTCCCCCCCCCCTCCCCTCCCCCAATCTCCGTAGGAAGTCACCCCCGCCCAATATATACCAGTGCTGGACGTCAAACTTATTTGTTACGCATGCGCGCAGGGNCGGTTCCAAAAACCAATGCTCCCCCCCTCCCCTCCAATTTCCGTAGGAAGTCACCCCTGCCCAATATATACCAGTGCCGGACGTCAAACTTATTTGTCACGCATGCGCGCAGGGTTCCCTGTACACCCACTAGCCCAGGGGACTGAGTGGGCTCCCATATAAAAAGGTTGGGGATGCTCGTCATTTTGCTAAGGTGTATAAATCAAAATCTTTGCTCTCGCTTAGGGTGTTCGATCAGGACGAAACGACACCAGTTTTAGCTGTCAAAATATCTTTTTGCTTGCACTGGAAGAAATAAAAATTTCAAAAAGAAAACGCTTTAATTTCCGTTTTTTGGCTTGATATCCGCCGGTCTTTCGAGTTAAGTCTTCTAGGCCGGGCTCCTTTCCTAGGTTAACGGAGCCCTAGATTGGACTCCTTTAGGAGTTTAACCCAAATTTTCCGACGAGCAGAGCGACAGGGTTTCTACACTACAAGTAGTCCCTCTTTGGCTTAGTTCGTCGAGCGAAACTGTAAATGGCCGCGAAAAATCCTATGGGCGCTTTTCGCCCCCAGAAATTCGCGCGGCCATTTTTTCTCGCGGTTTTCTCTCGCGTAACGCACGGCGGACTAAGCAAAGGAGGGACTACTCGTAGTCTACAGGGTTTCCTTTACAGCAGTTATTCTAATCGTCACGCAACGCTTGAAGTGTTGCGCGACGACTCAAGTAGCGACTGCAGAGTGTACGTCAAAGACAATTATAATTTGGGTTTGTTCACTTGCTCGCATGTAGAGCAAGTACACCGAGCCTGACGCAAAAAATTGAGGGATGAAAAATCCCACTCGTGAGGGCCAAGAGGGCAAGATCAAGAAAGCTCTTTCTAAAGATAACAGAAAAGAAACTAAGCGATACCTATTTTCTATTAAGGGTTTCTTTGTAACATTTTTAGCTTCAGTAGTTTGAAGCAGCATCAATATTCTCAAACTAATACAAGGCTTCTCGAGGCTTCGATTTTAGAATTGAGTGGACTTAAAGCCCTGGCCAAACGGACTCATAAATTAGTTGCATATAGCCTCAAGTTGAACTTGTGTAGACACTTGCATTGGGTGGCCAAACAAACTTGCAAGTTTTCAAGCACATACACGCAAGTCGCAAAGAAACACATTTCAAGGCTACTGCCTTTGTCTCGCGCGGCCAAAATCCAGTATCATCGACCGGCTAATAGGTTGTTAAAATACTTGCGTTGACTTGGGTTGAGTGGTCCACCAAATGAGCGCAAGCCATCGCTAGTCAACGCTAGTCAACGCAACTCCACGTAAGGTCTGGCTAACTCAAGTTTTCAACTTGCGCCTACTTGGACCGGAGTCCGTTTGGCCAGGGCGTAACTTTTCTGTGTTTGCTGAAGGGTTCGTAAGTAAATCTTGGCATGATCAGTAGGATAAATTTTGTAGCGTGCTACCTTTGTATATTCTGTTTTTATTCGCTCCATTTATAGTTTCAAACATGAAACTATCATGGCAAACTTAGTTTTTGCAAATATAAATCTTTTTGGTAACTTAAAATACCCTTCTGAGAAACTGAAAATGCATGTGATAAAGGAAGTAAAAATCTACTGTTATTTTTCAACTGTTATTTTCTCCTTAGCAGAACCGTATTTGAACTGAATACGCGGAGTAGAAGCAGCGACCACAAAAAAGCAAGTCGCAATATGAACCATGGGAAGGCTGCCAAAAGTTTCCTCAAACTTAACTTGATATCTCAGCTGCGTGATATCTTACACCGAGGGTTAACAAGTGGCCCTTGTTTCAGCGCATAGATTTTCTTGGAAAATCGGAAGGGTACTGGAAAAGCCTTTGTTATTCCCGATTTTATTAGCAACGATGAAAACAACACTGCTGCCCTTGAGACATTGCGAACCCTACCCCCACCCTAATCAAATTCTAAACCCAGACTGGAGAACTTAAATTTGTGTCGCGGAAATATTCGTAAGAACTGTATTTCTTGAACTAAAATTTAGCTTCTTTTAAAAACGAAGACCGAGTTCACAGTTGGCAATAAATTCTCATTTTAGTGGATTTATTTAAATGGCTCATGCGAGATTTCTCAATAGCAGCCTGACTTCTTCATTTGTTTTTATTTATCATCTCCATTTACATGAACTAATTAATAATTAAGAAGGATATCAAAACAATAACGTCTGGGAATATTCAGGAAAATGAGATCCAATAAATGAAACCCGTACAAAGACATTTTTTTTTTACTGTACTCTCCTTCACAAGTCAGTAAATGTTATATTGGTATTCCATATCTATTGTATAACGTCACCTTTGACACTGCACGTGGGAAAAAAAAAACAAACCAAGCGCTTTCCTAGAATATGTGCTCAACTATCCTCACTACTCTAACCGTTGTCATATCGATCTTTCCTGGAAAATCGTGTTTGAGGAAAAAAAGATCATACGACTCTGAAAGCACAGTGTTGTATATACTCACCACTGTACATGCAGTCAGTATGCTCATGTTTTAGCACTTCCTTCAGCTATGGTCGGTATTGCGCATGGCACAAGACAGTTCCATTTCGGGTTCAAACCTGGACTTGCACAACTCTACTGTGCAGAGCTGATGGATAACTCACCCCACCGTAGACAGATTCTTAACCCAGGTGAAAGACCTCGTGGAACAACTCAGAAGTTGA